AAGTTTGTAAGGCCAACCGTGCAGGCCTCCCCTGAGCTTGTCAGATTTAGTATGTGGCCCCCTTTTTATCCACACCACAATGCTATTAGGTAGGAGCTTTCATTGTGCCCATTTTTCTGATGAGGAAACTGAGGCTCAAGAGAAGTTAACCTATAGTACAAGGATGAGTACTAATTAGCCAGTTCTGCCTATCTCCAAGATCTTAATCCCTGTTAGGCTGTCCACCTTACCTTATAAGGTCCCAAGAGGTGGATGGATTAATGATAGCCAGGTTTGGGAACCACTGTGTGGATCAGCGTTTATATATACATATTCTAAAAACCCCTGCCCCTTTTCAAAGAACAGGACAAAAATCTCTAATCCTGGTGTGATATTAGGAGAGAAAGCCAGAGGAAAGGAGCATAGATTTTAATTGACTTTGGTTTATATTTTGTTCTATTAAGTAGTTGGATTTCTATGCCCATTTTTCAGATAGGAGCCTATGTTATCATATTGAGTATGCTTTTAAAGATACACACACCCCTTCTCCCAAGATCCAGCTTTGGCAGCCGCTTTTCCAACCCCCAGCCTCCAGCCCTCCACCTTTCCCTGTCCCACTAAAACCATTGTTTCTCACACTTCCTGGGAATAAGAATTAACTAAAGAAAACTCTGCCCCAGGGTCCTGGGAATCTGTAACCCCCGGCTACTCTGTCTTCTGTCCTGGGGAAGTCTGGGGAACCACATTTTGAGGCATACTGTATGAACTAAGTCAGGGCGCGAAGATAGGCTGGCTGGAGGCTATGGAGGGTGACGGGGAGGGCCCTTTGAGGTTGTAGTGCTGGGCTCTCCTGCTTTCTGCTGGGAGCCAGGGAGGAGCTTGCCAGATACTGGCCCAGGGGAGGAGCGAGTGTGGGGAAGGTGACAGCGCCCTCACCCTTCCCAAAGGCGACCAGGCCCAAAGGACCCAGCGGCTCCGCTGGCTGAGAGCCCAGTGCTTCTAAGAGGGGGTAATGGTCCTGCCAGATTTTCTTCGAGGTCTCTGGAGCAGCTCAGAAAAGTATTTGTCCGCAGCCTCGCCGGGGACTGTCCTCCACCCCAGAGGATGGGAAGTGAGATGTCTGTAGGGGCAGACACAGTGCAGCAGCATGTGATGACTTTCCAACCTCCCCCAGTTTTCCCTCCCTCCTCGTGTACTCCACAGGGCTGTGTCCCTCCTGCACTGGCCGCTCCGTATCCCCGAGCTCCCCGATTAAGAACTCCGCCAGCAGAGCCCTTACTCACCACAGTGGCATGCGGCTGTTAACATTTGTGTCCACGCTAACGCTCTTTTTCAAACACAGACTCTGTTTTAACGAGAGGGAAACACTTGAAGAAGTTCTTGCACCACTAGGTTGACTAAGTTTCCAACTACCCTCTTTTGTTCCCCCAATCATAACAGCTACGTTTCAAGTAGTTACTCCCTCTGCTTAGAACTAGTCACACGGAGTCCCGACTGGAAACTGCATGGACATGGATGGGACAGGAAGGGGCAGGGCTGGCTTTCTCTGCACGCCAGAATACATCTGCATTGTGTTCATTCCACCCGCAGAGCGGAGAGCCACAGGGCCTGAGAGTCTTTCACTATAAAGTTTCCTTCTGAGACGTGGCCCATCTGTTTCAGTGGTGGGTGGAGTCCATGGGGAGACTCTTATTTTTCCACGAGCATACAGGGCAAAATCTCCACATCACTGCCACACTTTAGCATATTTATAGTATTAGCAATACGAGAAAAAAAGGGTTCTTGGTTCACTGTCATCTCCTTTAAAGGAAATTGGCTTGTGGTCCGACTGCACTGTTCTTATGCCCCGTGTAGGAGGCCAAGTCATCGTTTCCCAGACTCAGTATTTTGTATCCAGGCAACGTCAGAGAAAACAGGCCAGGCCAGCCGGCATGCCTTCGCTCCTACAGAGCTCAGACTTCCCCGTAGGGGCTGTTGTCCTGGACTTATAGTGAAAACTCTTAGAAGTTATAACTGTTTGCATTTTTCTTCAGCTGAACCCAGCTGTTAGAAATATTTTGGAGATTTAATCTAAACACACTTATCTATACTTCAGATAAAAAGAAATTCAAGTTTTTTTTTTTTTACATTCCCTTCTCCTCTCCCCCCTGACACAAAAGCATCAGACTTTCATGAAGAAAAGAAAATCATAAGAAACGGGACTAAAGGTTTCTGAAGAAGGAATTGCAGGGAGGCTGTGTAATTGGCTTCATTTATTTTACTCCATGCCTGGTCAGTTACCTGTTATCACCTTCTCTCACAGGGAAAAGAAAGCAGCAGATAGTGGTTTGAGTCAGAATGAAGTTGTAAAGCCATTCAGGACCATAAAAGGCCAGCAGATAGGCTTTGTCTTTTAAGCAAGCCCAGTTTCTCCAGTCCCTATTGTCTTACCTATCACTCACTGTGTTTCACATTTCTGTCATTGGCCTAACTTTTCCTCCTGGCACCCTGTGTGAATTGAAGTTTGACTCACAACATTATAGACTAATACCTTTAAAGGCATAATCTTTGCCTAATATTCTGAATTTCCATTATGGACCCATCTAGGGTACTTTTACCCCTAAATCAATGAACAAGGACTTTAAGACAAATATTGAACATGATATGGTTTTCTAAATAGATATATGTGGAAGAGATTTTTAGAGCTGAGATGGGTCTGAGGAATGACTTATTTCAATCCACTCGTTTGTAGGTAAAAAAGTTGGCTCAGAGAGTTATGACTTAGCTAAGGCTGCGAAGGATGTTGGGACACGGGGTGTTAAGGCTAGAATAGGTTCTCAACCTGGGGCAATTTGGCTCACTAGGGGACAATTGGCAATGAGTAGAGTTGCTGGTGGGTGGGGGTCAGGGATGCTGCTGAACATCTGATAAGACCTAGGAAAGTGTGTCTCCCCCCCAAAAAAACAAAAACAAAACAAAACAAAACAAACAAACAAACAAACAAACAAAAAACAAGAATGGTCCAGTTCAAAGTATGAGGAGTGCTGAGGTTGGTAAATGCTGGTCTAACCCCAGGCCATCTTCTTTCACTTCAGCGTTGTCCCAGCAAGCTGTACTTTCTGTTTTGTTCCAATACTTATTTATTGCTGGTAGAGATTCAGGTCATCTTGACATTAGCAAAAGCAGATCAGTATATGTTTAAGGGTGCAGTGTCATGATTTAAATCATAAAGTTAGGTTCTGAGTCATGGAATTGTGAGAAATAAAAGTCAGTGTGTTTCCACATCTTTCCAGGACAGTACCTGGAATAGACTCGCAATACCTGTCAGATGACTGACTGAAAGCTGCAATTTGCACATTTTGTTCCTCTTAAAAATTCAACTAGACAAAGCCTTGGCTTACTGCCCTGTTTTTTAAAACATGGAGAGACATTCTCAGGCTCACACCAGGTGGGGCTAAATGAGATTTTGCCAGGGACTCTCACCTTGTATTGGAGATTTGCCTGTTTCATCTGGTGCAGATGGAGTCATGCGTAGGTGCTTGTCCTCAATATACCAGAGGAATAAAAATCAGAGCAAAGAGAAACCATACGCACGTAAAATCTAACAAACACACTGAGTAAATGTACTGGTTTTCTGTGAAGGTCCTATCAGTTCTCAGCATCGCCTGAGAGACCTAATTTCTTTATTGACTTAAAAGGGCTGAGAAGCTTATTCATCCTTCTGAGACAGAACTTTCCTTTCCCATTGACATTAACTGACTCTATGTGTGATATTAGAAGAGATTAGAATCCATCAGAGTTCTGTCCAAGAAAGTGTACTCTGTCAAGAAACCGTATGCAAATGGTTCACATCATTGGGTCATTTGTTGAAACAGGATGCCATGGCAACGTTCTGGTCTTGTGTAATGTAATATTAATTATTAGTATTTCTCCTGCTGAATGTATGTGGCTGGGTGACAGACCCCAGATTTTCAATTTAATCCTATTTCTGAGTCCTGAGTGGGGGAGGAGAATACGGGTATATGTCAGTTCAAAAATGATGTGCCTGTGTTGACATCAACTTCCACTTCCTGATTTTTTTTTTTAAGAAAATGTACTGCATTTCAAAATAAAATTAATACCTTTCCATAACTTGAACTTTTCTGATTATTTTTCCTCGGAGCCCAGAATTATGTGTTATACTCAACTACAGCTTCTTGAATCTGTGTTTACTTACTTATTTATTTTTTTACATAAGGAATCTCATTTATCACTTAGAGGACTTGAAGTTTGAGTTGGATTTTTATGCTAGTGATATTCCATGCTATTGTATCTGCTACTTATTAGTTTATGTTGCTGCAAATGTAGACGAGGTGTAAATAAATGACATGTTAAAAAATCTTACTATTTCTCTTTTCCATTTTCGGTATCCATACTGAGAGCAGATGGATGCTCTCTTTGCTTTTTGATTGCATTTCACAGAGGGAACTTTTTCAATTCACCCAGTCTCATATCCTCCTGGTGTTATCACCCTCACTTTATAGACTATAGTCTATGGAGAAGAAAGAGAAGCTCACACATCCAACTTTTGAATGCTGCTCCCCAGTACATGGGGTACAGGTAGCCCCCTCAGTAAACTAGCAGCCTGTTTACAGTTCAACCTCTGCTTGGGGGGATGCTTTTGTGTGGGCAAGTTTTATGGCTCCTTTCAAATGTTCATCACAGAGGAAGGTTTGAATCTTTTCTTGCTCTTCTCTCTTCCAGGATTTGGGGGTGTAGGGGGCTGTATTCAGTTTTTGCCTCTCACCCACCCATCTCATCATGACTTGATATTTCATAGGCACCATAGTTAGACTCTTGAAATGACTACTTGTTATGGAGAAGTGATGGCTGATACATAATGTTGACTGCCAAGTTACCCTACCAGGGTGAGAACAAAATGGCCCACGTTTCATTAGGAGTGATTTCATTGATAACAGGTGGATAGGAAGGAAATTAGGAGGTCTGGTGAGTCATGGAAACATGCCTCTTACTTAGGTTACTGTATCTCATTTCCTCTGCAGATTAATCGGCACAGCCACTTTATCCCTGAAGGACCTGATTGGCGACCAGAGCAGATCACTGCCATACAAACTGATCTCCCTGCTAAATGAAAACGGGCAAGATACTGGGGTGAGCATTTCCCCTTGTTTTGAATGGCTTCGAAGTGAGATGATGAAGCAAAAAAGAGTGTGAAATTATCATTAGCTCACTACACACACACACACACACACACACACACACTACACACACACACACCTACTGATTTTGAGATAAACTAGTCCATTTGCAAAGATATTGGCCTTTTCCTATACTCCCAATCACAGAACTGGCAAATCAGATAAATTTGATTTTCTATAACAAAATACTATAAAGCAAGTGTATATTCTCTTGGGTGTTGACATTTGTGTGGTGAGCATAGCTGTGTGTATCAGGCAGTCTTTGAAACATTCTATAGAAGGTAACTTATTGATATTACCTTGGAATATCAATAAGTTAGTAGCATGATCTTTATTATTGCATTAGCATCTATATGCTTTCTGATCGCAGCCTTCCTAAATAAGTCCATATTGATGTATTGAGACCAGAATTCTCTTCTTCAAGTATGTGTAAAAAACATTGGCTCAAGCATCACAGCTCTGAGATTTCATACGACTGCTAACATACTTGTATAAAGCTACCATTCTTAAGTCATTAACCTCTAACACCGTCATTTTTCTATCAATTTATTTTGCTCGGGAGCCTGGGTACAGGGAGAAAATTTTATTTAAAAAAAAAAAAGGCCATCCCTGTAGACAAGAACACAGGTTAGGTTTCTCAACATCCGTTAGGAATGTCGATTTTCTGATCGGTTTCCTGTGAATCAGCATTCTAACCATGCAACGTAAATTCAGAGTGTTGGCTATCATTTATCTACCTAAAACCTGACTGAGCAAAATGATACTTAAGAAACATGGTACATCTCAGTGATTTTTTTTTCTGACTGCCTTTTTACTTATTTGTTCATTCATTCATTCATTCATTCATTACCCAAGGATATTTTTTCTATCGCTTTTTAGAAAGAGAGGGTCACATGTAGCAAGAAGCAAATGAAAGCATAAGATGTCCTTTTACATTTGAATTTTAGATAAACAATGATTTTTATTTTATTTTATTTTATTTTATTTTATTTTATTATTTTATTTTGGAATAGGTATGTCCTAAATATTTTGTCTGTATTTTAACTGGGAACCTGGGTGTGTGCCATTTTTATTTGCACAGGAACCTTTATTTTGAGGTCTATACTTTCTCATTTTTTGCAGTTAAAATTCCTTTCTGTTTTAGTTGATATGGTTGTGGGCATGTGTTCACATCCCTATGGTGATTCCCCCAAGCCAATGTTTTTTGAAATTTTGTAGGTTCATGAAATATAAATGCATAGGAAACTTTTCCATAAAATCATGCTCCATGTGAGAAATGTATCTTGGATTTTAAAAGTAGGAATAACTATCTCCTGTAAGGAATTACCATGCTTTTTTTTCCTTTCTGATAATGAAAGTTGCATAGCCTTTTCAGTTCTCCAATCTTGCCTTGGCTTCTAGCCATCTTCGGGTCACATTTTATGCAAATCTTGAACTTCCTGATTCGAATATTTGTTTCCTCTAATCAAACTTGATTCCTTTTTTTTATCCTATTTTGTGGGTCACATTGTTATATAATTTTTTTTAATCCATCACTTAAAGTTCTTTTTAGAAAGCAGTGTGAAAATAAATTTTAGAATTAAGGAAGTCAGTGAGCGAACAAATACATAATCATTTACAAGGGGCCTCTGCGACTGGAATTCTGTGATGGGAGGCGACCTCCAGACTAGGATGGAAGCTGATTACAAGTTCATGCTTGCCTGTCACAACATTCTTCCAGCTTATGAGGTTGCCCTTTACCATTGAAACTCTTGACTACCTGTAACGGGTAATTCCTTTCCCAGGCGTTCCCACTCCACCTAGGCTCACACGTGGGAAGATATAAACAATGGAGTGTGTCATCCTTCTCTGTTTCTCTTCCCACTTTCCCACCGCCCTGCTCTCCCCTTCTTTAACTCCTGCTGAATTGGTTTGCATTGGTCCACGGCATTCCAACGCCCCGCACTGACTCTGTTTATATTGCATTGTTTCTACCCAGGCCACCATTGACTTGGTGATTGGCTATGATCCACCTTCAACTCCACATCCAAATGACTTCAGTGGGACCAGCGTGTCAGGCATGGGAGGTAAGCTGACCCTTCTGAAGGCCCAGCCTACCCCAGGGGACTCTGCGGAAGACACATAAGGTGTCTCCAAGAAAGCCTTCCTTGTCTTTACACTGTCTGTAGCTCCCTGCTCACCTAGACAGGGCCCCGTGAGGCAGGTGCCCTGAATCGGGACATACAACTGTTTGCAAACTGCCCTTCAAGGGAGAGGAGGAGGTAAGACAGTGAGCTGATCCAGTACATACAGACTCCAGCAGAAGTGTCTAAGTGAGGCTTTGCTATGGGTTTGTAGCTTCCACACCTTACAATGTCCACTAGTTTTGAGGCTCCAGGAGTGAACTCTACTCTCTTCATGTATCTGTCCCCCTCCAAGAGTGCAACCCCAGGCTGTGCTCTTGGCCGCCAGTGTCCTGGTCAGTGCCCTTGTTTTGGAACCTCTTTCTTTCTCTCCCTTGGCCCTGATCCCCAGCCTCACTCCCTACCACTAGACAGCCCCTTGGTTCTTCAAGCAGGTGAAATTTTGCATAACCCACCTTTCTCTCCTTGTTCTCTGACATGTGTTGTCAGTTATTTGGAGCTGTTTTGGATGGGATTGGGGATGGGGGATCGGGGGAAGACTTAGGGTCGCACGTGGAAGGAAGTCTACAAGACAGTCAGGCCTTCGCACAGCTGAGTTTGACCTCTTCTTAGCATCTTTCCAGGAAGATGTGATGCTGAAGTGTTGCTGTCCCTTTCTCTGTCCTGAGATGCATCACCAGACCCCTCCCTGTTTCCCCAGCCTTGCTTGCTATGTGCCCCAGAAGGAAGAGGCCCTTTGTCCCACCCACTCACTTGCTGCCTTGAAAGTCTTCTCCTGGGAGGGCGCCCTGGTGTTTTTTCTTGTCAGGATTGGCTTCTCAGGTTCCAGTTTCTCTTTGTTTCTGCTGGTTCTGAACCTGCCTAAGTGGTCTGCTCAGCATCTGCAGCAGCACCTCCCTTCCTGCCCTGTAGCGTCCCAGCTGGTTCCTCCTGACTCCTCACTTCATCTCAGCCCGACCCCAGCCATTGCCCGCTCACCCACACCCCACCGATGGCCTAGCATTCCGCATCTGACCCATTTATTGGCCAAGTAGTTGTGAGAGTCCAGCAAGGGCCAGCTGACTCCTCTTCCTTGGGAACAGTGGGGGCCGACATAGCCCTAGCACATCAGCCACACATTTTGCAGTCACCCTGTGCCCATCAGCACCAGGAACTGTTGCTAGGTCCTCAGGCTCCCTCAGTCCCACAGGAGCCCTGCAGTGGCTCCCGTGTGCTGCCACAGCAGAGATGACCAGTAAAACACAGAGGGAACAACACACCATCAGGGACTGAACTGAGTCATTCTACCCATTTCCTTCTCACCTCCCTCACTGACCATTGCATCGGAAAGAGGCACTTTCTGGCCCACAAAAGGCAGCTCCATCTGGTAGGATATCAGGAGTAGCCTCTGAATTGGGAGGATCAGCATGCCTTTCCTCACACTGACATTTTCCCTAAGCCGGACTCTGTGTATCAGTTTCCTAGCTGTGATAAAGTACCACAAACTGGGGGGCTTAAATAACAGAAATTTATCCTCTCACGTTTCCGTAGCCTATGAGTCTGAAATCAAAGTGTCAACAGGGTTGGGTCCTTCTGAAAACTTTGAGGGAGAATTTGTTCCATGTCTTTCTCCTCCCTTCTGGTGGCTGCTGGCAGTCCCTGACCATCTCTCCAGTCTGCCTCTGTCATCACAGTGTTCTCCTATGTGTCTCTATCCTCATATGGTGTGCCCGGGTGTGTGTGTGTGTGTGTGTGTGTGTGTGTGTGTGTGTGTGTCTGAATTCACCTCCTATAGGGACTCCAGTCATTGGGATATGCCTATCCTGCTGTTCAGTTTTAACTGTGATGGAATTCCAGACAATTTGCATATTCCCCTATTATTTGTATAGATTATTACAAAAACAAGTCCACTTGGCTGGCATACTCTGTATGAAGTTTCTTCCTCTAAAAAACAGAGCTATTGGAAAAGAGTGTTCTGGTTTGGCTCAGTGTCAAGTTGAAATGACTAAATGCTTTCTTTTAAAAATATCTTTAAAAGAATTTTTAAATGGGCCCGAAAGACTTTGACAATAACCAGTTTGTGAAGCTATAGGATGTGGAGGGGACTTCCTTCTACTGGAATGGACCGTGTATGCCCCAGCTCAGAAAACATGCATTCCCTGGAGCAAAGGCTGCTTCCTGGGAAATGAGAAAAGCATCAACTGGTGAACTTCTAAGCCCACTGGGAGAAAACCCTTGCCACTGAGGCTCCCTGTGCTCAGGCTCCTCCTCCCCCCTGCAGTGCTGGGGGCTGAGAGCCGCCATCCTCTTAGGAAGCTGACTTTCAGAGGGCTGCATGGCAGTTGGCAAGGCCTTCCTCAGTCCTTTAGAATTCCTGACACTATGGGATGGAGGTAGGAAATGAACCAGAACTTGGGTTCCTTTTGTTTGGATTTCAAACAAAGAATATTCCTAAGTGTTGGCCTCCAAATGAGCTGTGTCTGAAGGGCCATTTTATTTTAAGTGTGAGATGACAAAGGGAAACTTTTTTATTTAAAAAAAATAAAATAAACAGGCTTCTTTGACCTGGAAGTGCCGTGTTTGTTCTGTAAGATGAATATTCACCAAGGCTGGGTCAAGGGCAGCATTCTGAATGTTGGCTTCATAATCTAACAGAAACTTTTCTTCAGCATTAAAAACAAAAAACAAACAAAAAAAACAAACAAAATAAAACTTTCAATATCCTAGATCACATGTGTCAAACACAAGGCCCGCGGGCCAAATCCGTCCCACCAGGCCTTGCAATGTGGCCCGCACCGCGCTGTCATCACTGCACTCCGCTGCGTTTCCATCACAATGACAGTTTATGACTGTTCAGTAAACCATTCGGCCCGTGATTTAGGCTGGGTTTTAGATTTTGGCCCCTTCTCTGATTGAGTTCGACACCCCTATCCTAGATTATCTGGACATTTCAAGGGAAAACACTTTTTGTCTTAATGTGGCAATTCAATTAAACTAATCAAAGATACCTTTGAGTATTTACTATACTCCATGCTAGGGAAGATACACACACACACACACACACACACACACACACGTGCGTGCGCACACACACACTCACCACCACCACCACACCACACCACACCACACCACATCACAACAATTTATAATCTTGGGATAAGGTAAGACCAACAGACTTGAGACAGAGAAATAACAGCCAGATAGGCTGCCTCCTGCCATCGTGTACCTTAAGGTTAAGGAGATGGCTGGCCCAGAATATCTTCCCTTCTTTTTAGTTGACTCCAAAAAATAACAAGCCAAAAACCCCTTTTCTAGTCTATATATCAGTAATGAGTAAATTTCCTCTAATTTATATAGGACTTTTCAAATCTTAAAAATTTGAGCTTGTTGATTTTTTTTTTAGTACAAAAGCAATACCTGCTTGTAAAAAATGTAAATATCACAGAATGATAAGACATAGAAAGTTCAAATCACTCACAGTTCCATTCTTCTCAGATAATGACTGTTCACAACTGCTAATATTGATGTTAAAAGTTATCCTAGGGGGTACTACAAAAATGAAACGAGATATTAATTATAGAACACAGAAATGAAGACTTTCAGGAAAATTCACCACCTACAAGTTGCAGAAACTAATATGACCATGGGTTTTAGGAATTGAATACCTGAGGGGTTCTTGTGAGGTTTTTTTTAAAGACTTTTTTAAAGAGCAGTTTTAGGTTTACCACAGAATTGAGAGGTACAGAGATGTCCTCAGTACTCACTGCCCTCACACATACATTGCCTCCCCTAATCAACATCACTCACCAGAATGGTATAATACATTTTTTTATGAAGGATGAACCTACTTTGACACATCATAGTTCAATGGGTTTGGACAAAAATATAATGACATGTATCCATCATTATAACATAACACAGAGTATTTCCAGTGCCCTAAAGATCCTTTGTGCTTTGCATATTCATCTGTCCCCACCACCTTCCTTTGGTAACCACTGGTCATTTCATTGTCTCCATAGTTTTGTTTGTTTTCCCCCTGATTGTCCTAGAGTTGGAATCATGCAATATACAGCCTTTTAAGATTGGCTTCTTTCACTTAGTAATATACACAAAAGATTCCTCCATGTCTTTTCACAGCTTGTAGCTTATTTTTCTAAGCGCTGAATAATACGCCATTGTTTGGATGTACCAGTTTGTTTATCCATTCCCCTGCTGAAGGACATCCCGGTTGCTTCCAAATTTGGCAAATATGAATTAGGGTGCTATAAACATTGATGTGCATTTTTTGTTTGTTTTGTGACATGCATTTTTAACTCCTTTGGGTAAATACCAAGAGCATGATTGCTGTATTGTATTATATGTGGTAAGAGTAGGTTGTTTTGTAAGAAACTTGCAAACTGTCTTCCAAAGTGCCTGTACCATTTTCATTCCCACCAGCCATGAATGAGAGTTCTTATTGCTCCACATCCTTGTCAGAACTTGGTTTTGTCAGTGTTCCAGATTTGAGCCATTCAGATAAGAATATAATGGTCCCATCTTTTCATATGCTTATTTGCCATCTGTATATATTCTTTGATGAGGTATCTGTTAAGGTCTTTGGTCTGTTTTAGTCAGGTTGTTTATTTCCTTATTGTTGAGTTCTGAGAGTTCTTTGCATATTTTAAATAATAGTCCTTTGTCAGATATGTCTTTTTGCAAACATTTTCTCTCCGTCTGTGACTTGTGTTTGAATTCTTTTGACATTGTCTGTTGCAGAGCAGGGATTTTTAGGTGGCTTGACTAAAGTGTGTGAAGATAAAGGTACCCTCCCTTTGGCCCACTTCTCAGACTGTTCCCATGACAGATGTGTGAGCTGATCTAGGCTGCAGGCTTGACCTCCTGAAAACCTGTTACTTTCTCCACTCAATTCGCCAGATGTCAGTTAGCTTGACTGGAGCCCACATTCTCATGCTCAGATTAAACTA